CTGCTTGCTCAGGAAGTGTATGTTTTGCAAAAATCCTCAAAATTATTTCTGAACAACTGGTATCTGATACCTATTACTGATTGCCTTAATACAGAGGGAAAATGTTCTACAAGGTGAGAAAAAGGGGAAGATGGTAATGATAAAAATATACATCCTCATGGATGAAATAAAATTTCTTTTGTTTATATCTCATGTTCATATGACTCCTTGAATTCTGACTTGCTTCTTTCTGATAATCTCAAGAAACTTTTTCTAAGCCAAACACATTCTAATCCTATTTTTTGAGATGCTTGCTAGAATTAAAACCAGACTTGCCATATTACTTTTTGAATTAAAGACTTGGAGAAAACCAGAAACGCTTTATTTTTTCTAGTATCTGATCTGAAAGTAGCTATGCTAACATTAGAAAGGTACTGCCTTGCATGCATTACATAGCATGCTTAAGTGCTTAAAAATGTTTTGTTCCTTTTGAATGACTTTTTTTCTTTTCTTTTTAATATGGTAGCTGGGTTAATAATTGAGAATACTCTCTGTCTGTCTTGATGCTGAGTAATAGACTTTTTCCTCTGGTATCCATATTTAATATAAAATTGTAAAATATGGTCTCACAAATTGCAGCTGAACACCTCAGGCATTCAGCCTTTCTGTGAATTCAGGAAAACTTTTACATCTGGTCTTTAAGTGAAAATCAACTCTCCTTCAAGTAGAGACTCCACTTAATATGATCGTTCTGCTTCCAGCTGAGGAGTAACAGTTGTTTTTATTTTATTTTATTTTTTTTAAATCTCTTCCCTCTCAGTGCTTAGAGGATGATGGTTTACATCAAGATAAGAAAAAGATAGTACCTGTTATTAGAGTTCTACTTCACAGTCTCCTTTCCTGCTTTTCTGGTTAAATGTAAAATGTATAGAATAGAATGTACAGTATTGCTGAGCTTAACTTCTTTAGATTTAATTACATTTAAATTATAATGATATTGTTGTATATTCTGTGGAGTAAAAACAAGAAGCCTATAGGGGGCTTTCAGGAGTGAAATAAAGGGTTCAGGGAAGAGAATTAACAAGGAGGAAAAGGCATCATTTTGGGCTTACTGCAAGGTGAAATTTTTTCATATCTCCTTGCATATCTCCTCCTATTTCATATTTTTCATGACTCGGAATGCTGCTTTCTTTTCTTCGGGGGAAATTTTGTTCCAAGATAAACTATTATTGTATAAATTACTATCTTAGAGTTTGATATTTTTCATTTTCTACTACCAGCCAGCTCTTTTTTCTACATCTATTGTGCTTAATATAGCTCTGTTTCTTTTCACTCCGCTTCAGTCATCCAGGGGGGAAAAAAAAAATCTCCTGTTTCTACCTTGTAATAGTAATGTAGCGATACTCACTTATATAAAAAACAAGGATTAGATTCCCTTTCAATACTGTCTTTATTTCCTTTGTATCTTAAACCGGTACATGCCTGTGCCTTCTAAATTCCTTCTTCCAGCCTGGAGCCGACTGCGTTAGAGGAGGGTAAGAAGCTACCATTAATGAGTGTAACTTTACAAAGCTGTCTGAGTGCAGACACAAAAGGTATTGTGTAAATGTTGAAGAGCTTTTTACCTTTATGAGTATGCTTTCTGAAATCTATCCTTTTTACCCTTTAAAAAAAAAAAAAAAGTGATTTACTATTTTTCTTCCCTCTCCTTATAGCAATCAGATAGGAGTTCCTGTCATTTTCTCTTCCTTTATGATGTCTCTGGAGGTGGAACTAGTCAAATATCTCTTGACCACGAAGAGATGATACGTTGTGCTACAGGAGCTACACTCAGGAAAGGGAAAGGAAATTCTTCTATAGTAAGTAACATGATAATAATACTATTTAAGGTGTGCAGAAAAAAATCTATGTGCTAGTAGAAATTTAATCACTTTAGGAGTAATTTTTTAAAATAAAATTAATTATTTCTTGGGAAGAGAATGCTTTATGCAAGCTTTCATGTGCTAGTGTTCTTTTTAGTCAGTAATCAGCTGTGTCCTACATAATGTATCTATCTAATGTGCTGGTTAATTACGATGTTTCAGACTTGAAAAACTTGCACCCTTTTCAAGTTAAAATGTTCGTGAATCTTTTTCTTAGGATCACAAATAGCGTATCTATGCGTTTGTCTATTGTTAATAAATCTGAAATTTAAGTATCATGTGCAGTTTGAATATACTGTGAAAGATCACAAATCAATCATTTTAGTAAAATACATGCTTTGACAGACATGTTTTTCAGCTCTAGTGTTGCTATTTTATTTTAGTTGCAGGAAAAAATGAACAGGATATTCAGGATATCTTTCATGAGCCAAAATCTTCATTTTGTTTTTTGATGTACACTTTTCAAGTAGCAATAAGAGTTTCCTAAGTACAAAGTTATCTTTTGAAGAGCTTCATATATTATAAACATTATTCACACTTCCTAGAAGTATGTTTGTATCAGCATAAAACTATGGCAGAAACACGTGACTGATCAACAACACACACTGGGTATTTATGGGTAAGAAGAAATATTTTTCTCCCAGTCCTATGCTAATACTATTACAAATCAGGTTAAAGTGTTAGCAGGAAATGAAAACGGCCAAAAAAAGGTAGGTATAATTACTTCCTTTACTCGCTGTCTCAACCATTCAAAAGGGGGCAGTCTCTTAGCCACTGTGTTTGTGCAACAGTACATACAATAGATTTTTGATCTTGGTTGGGATTGCTTGTTTCTACTGGAGTAAAAGCACAGTTAAAGGAGGATATGGGTAAGGCTGAATTTTAAGAAAACTGCCATATTCATAAGCAATATTACCAAATTTGTAAATCTCTATTTCCCAAGGAAAGTGCAGCAGGATGCAGTGGAACGCCTATTTGTCGCCAAGCCCAAACAAAATTGGAAGTCGCCCTATACATGTTTTTGTGGAGCCCTGATATTGAGGCAGTCCTTGTTGCAATGTCCTGTTTCCGTCACCTCTGTGAGGAAGCAGATATCAGATGTGGAGTAGATGAAGTCTCGGTTCATAATTTTTTGCCAAACTACAACACTTTCATGGAATTTGCATCTGTTAGCAATATGATGTCAACAGGTAAGAATAATGAGTCTGGAAAACTTCTTTCTGCCTTTTTAATCCAACTATTATTTGGGTTTGCATTCTCTTAAAAAAGTTAAGAGAGATGATTTGATTTTTACTCCTACTTTCACTGAAATATTTTAGTCGTGGGAATTGCTGGAAAGAATACAGAATTTGGATGAGTATATTCATGAGGATTCTTGAGTGTAACAAGAAGTATATTCTAGACACTTTAAAAGGGGTATGCTCCTCTTGCTAGTTTAATAATTACTTTCAAAGATCTCATTCTTTTGATGGAGGTGTTTTTCAGGAACTGTTGGATAAACGTTCTGTGCTTCTTTGTAGGGAGAGCAGCTCTTCAGAAAAGAGTGATGGCTTTATTGAGACGCATTGAACATCCAACTGCGGGCAACACAGAGGTAATCTTTCTTCTGAATCTAAATACGTTTCATCTGTATTTTTTTGAAAGCAGAAAATACTGTTCTTACAAGTAGTTTTGAAGGTAAATGTCGATATATCTTATTTTAGGCCTGGGAGGATACACATGCAAAATGGGAACAAGCTACAAAACTAATCCTCAATTATCCAAAGACCAAAATGGAAGATGGGCAGGTGATTATGAATTTTTTTCCTTAGGTTCATACCTTTAGAAATTCAAAGTAACCATTTAAGCTTATTCATTTTGAGAAAATGAGCTTTAATCTGGAGAAAGGGGAATTGTAGGAGGACTTAACTCCATAAAAGTATTCCAGAAAGATATTGGTAGTCTCCAGAAAAATATTGGTAGTCAGCTGTCTTCCATGCCTATGATAGATCAAAAAAATGATTTGGCTTAATGTGCTTTAAGGCAGGTGGAGGCAGAGCTTAAGACGTAAGAGGAAGTTGAGTAAAGAATAGTAAGACCTCTGGAATACTCCTGAGGAAATTGACATCCCTTTCACTGGAAAATTTTAGACAAGCTGCTGGCTATCATGTCTTAAACTTCCTTCATCCTGCTTCAGAGCAGTGAATGGACTGGACAACCCACTACAGTTCCTTTTTTGCCCTGCTTTTTTGGCTTCTCTAAAAATAGGGCCTCTGGATACATTTCTGTTTATACTGCGACAATAAACTGTACTTAAATGCAAATCTTAAAAAAAAAAAATTCTTGAGACTGGTAAAGTTTTTTGGGGGAACCTGGCTGTGAATTTTAAATGACAGGACTGCATTTCAGAATACTTTAAATTCTGATCTCTCTCCATTATTTGTGTTTAATTGAAGAGATTTCATCTTGGATCATTCTTTTTCAGGTTACTGAAAGTCTTCATAAGACAATTGTTAAGAGACGAATGTCGCATGTTAGCGGGGGTGGCTCCATAGACTTGTCTGACACTGATTCTCTTCAGGAGTGGATCAACATGACAGGGTTTTTATGTGCTCTTGGAGGAGTGTGCCTACAGCATCGTAGCAATGCGGGATTAGCAACCTACAGTCCACCTATGGGCCCAGTCAATGAGCGTAAGGGCTCCATGATATCTATGGTGTCCACTGAGGGAAACACAGACACTCCTGTGAGCAAATTCATAGATCGGTTATTGACTCTGATGGTCTGTAACCATGAGAAAGTGGGACTTCAAATACGGACTAATATTAAAGATCTAGTGGGCTTGGAACTGAGTCCAGCACTTTATCCAATGCTGTTTAACAAATTGAAGAACACCATCAGCAAGTTTTTTGATTCTCAAGGGCAGGTAAAGTGTTGATGTATTCTTTCATGTTTGTATTTAATAAAAAGCATCAGTCTTATCTTTCACATAAGTAACTGAAATTGATGCTGGTTTGTATTTCGTACAAGAACTTGCCAAAATTATGATGATATTTGACAGCATGCATCATAAAATTATTGTGTTTATGATTCCAGATTTAATTTAATGCAGTTAAAAGCATTGAGTGATTGTACATATTACTGTCAGAGTACAGAATCTGTGAAAATGCTCTCAAAATCATTATGACTGGTGGTAGTACTGAGACATTAAATCCTGATTATGTATTGGAAATCTTACTAGATAACGCTAGGAAAATGCTTGTCCATTAGATTTTGAAACGCTACAGTTTTAGAAATATTTGACAAATACACCTTTTTATGTGTAAAGAATTAAGACCAGAAACTTTTTTCCTGTAGGTTTTGTTAACTGAGACCAACACACAATTTGTAGAGCAAACCATTGCTATAATGAAGAATTTGCTCGATAATCATACAGAAGGGAGTTCAGAACATCTTGGACAAGCTAGTATTGAGACAATGATGCTGAATCTGGTTAGGTAAGAAATCCTGGTAGACCTTCCTATGCAAAGTAATACATTTAAGGAGTGAGGTAGACCCTTCTAGTTTATATCTGTTCTCCTTGAGTCTGTGGAGAAAAATGTTGATTGTCTGATCCTCACTCTTACAGTTCTGACAACTGCAGTAATCATGGAAATTATCTGTGCTATGGCATAAATTACACTGACAGGGAGTGACTTATTTTCTTAAGAACTAATCGTTCCATGGCTCATCCCCATGCCTGGAAGCGTTCCTGGTTTCTTTTCTGTACATGAGTGTTTGGTGGATAGGGACCAGCTGAAGCAGAGATTGCTGTTCAACTTTATACTAACAGCAGAGAACTTCCTTGGCGAGAAGAAATTTTGTACTAGTCTTCAGCTAACTTAAAGGCTGGCTTGCTCACTTGGGAAAAAATTAGCCTGAAACATTCACTAACCAGTTTTGCAAGTCTGCTGTGTTGTCCAGTGTGTAGGCTGTGACATGAAACTGGAAAGATTTGTCAGATGTATGGGGTTTGTTTTGTACAGTATGAAGTATTTATTTAATGTTTTTGCTTTTTTCTTCACAGATATGTGCGTGTACTTGGAAATTTGGTACATGCAATTCAAATAAAAACTAAGCTCTGTCAGTTAGTAGAAGTAATGATGGAGAGGAGAGATGACCTGTCATTTTGCCAAGAAATGAAGTTTAGGTAAGTGTTACATTATAAAACTTCTAGGATACTATAATAGGGACAGGTGCGATTTTTGTTTTGAGTGATGGTTACATGTTTTAAAAAAAAAAAAAAAAAAGCTAAAAATCATCTCATGCAGGATCCCTTCTTTATTCTTTTTTTTTCTTCAAGTTTAATAATGTAGACCTTAGCGCTGCATTAAAACTTCATTTTGACTATGAGGATACTAAATGCATGTAAAAATTTAATGTATGTGGAATAGACTGATGTATTACTTTAACTCAGTTAATTTTATTGTACAGTCTTCAGCGTGTGGTTCTTTAAATAGTTCTTCAACTAAATTTGTAATAGTTAAGAATCATGCCAACGGTACTGGGTGTGTTCTGATGTTTTGGGACAGGAGATTGGAGAAAAAAAGCTGTATCTGTTTTTGTGTGTCTGTATATATTTCTCTCTCTCTCTCTCTCTCTATATGTATTATTTTTATAAACAGGAACAAAATGGTGGAATATTTGACAGACTGGGTTATGGGAACATCTAATCAAGCAACGGATGAAGATGTAAAATGCCTGACAAGGTTAGAAAGGATACTATTAAACTGTTTCTAAAGTTGCTAAGAGTGTTTCAGATGTCATTAGATATCCACATATCAGCATTGTGTGGACTTCTTTAGTGGTATTATATTTAGGGAAAAGACAGAAATTAAAAGGTAAGATTTGGAGAGCAGCATCGCAATTACATTTTAAGCGCAGTCTTAACAGAGGTTTTGTGGGTTTCTTTTGTTTGTTTGTTTGAAGAACTACTGTTTTTTGTTAATTCTTTTAATAACTTTTCTGATTTAACATTAGGATTATACACGTTTTATTTGCTAGACCTCTGTCTTCATATGGTGCGTTCTGAATAATAAAATCAGCTAAGATTATAGCCTTGAAGTTGTACTTGCTGATTTTTTTGTTTTGTTTTGCTTTTTCAACTGACCATTTTGGGTTTTGTTTGTTGTCCATAATCGATGTACTTGATTACGGCTGTACCACAGAACGTGATAGCTATTTTCCTGATGGACACAACTTTTTAAAAAAGTTACTCTGGTAAAGATTCTTCTCACCTGCAGTTAAGTGTATATGGAAAAGACATGCAGTACTGGGAGGGAGAATTGACAAGAGGAAGAAGAGACTAATTCTGCCTAACTCATTCACAGCTTAAAATTTTCATTTCAGAGACTTGGACCAAGCAAGTATGGAAGCAGTGGTTTCTCTTCTTGCTGGGCTTCCCCTGCAACCTGAAGAGGGAGATGGTGTTGAGTTGATGGAAGCCAAATCCCAGTTATTTCTTAAGTAAACAGTCACTTTTGACTTTCTCCTATACAATAACTCAAAAGTAGATGCACCATATGACTCTTATTACAAAGTATCTTTTTTCTTCTAGCAGAACTAATTTTATTATCTAACTAGAAGTTACCTCTCATCATCTCATTTCACAAATCCTCTACCTTATAGGTTTATGGAAACATTTTCATTTGGAAAACAATTATTAAATTTGGCTTTGTTTCCTTTCAACATAGTTTTATGCTTAATTCATGGAATTAGGTTGTTTAGATTTTAGATTTTTGTCCTTGAAACTTGAAATATTTTTCAAGATGCCTGTCTGGAAAGGTACACCTGTGCAATTCACTTGCTTGATCTGAGAAACTTCGTATGCAACTTTTAGGGCCGGTTCTTTGAAAAAGTATGCTACAAAAAAGACGCATGGCAGGAATGACATATATTGGGGGAAGCATATGGTCTGTTTTCTGCTGCAGGTAAATCAAAGATTGTTGCTTTTGTAGAACCCCTTTTACTTATCCAAGGATGGGGTTTTTTGTTTTGTTTTGTTTTTAGATATTTCACTCTGTTTATGAACCTTCTAAATGACTGTAGTGAAGTTGAAGATGAAAGCGCACAAACAGGTGGCAGGAAACGTGGTATGTCTCGAAGACTGGCTTCGCTGCGGCACTGCACTGTTCTTGCTATGTCAAACTTGCTCAATGCAAATGTGGACAGTGGCCTTATGCACTCAATAGGTAAAGTAATTAGAGATAACTGTGTATAAATGAATACATAATGAAGACATTTGTCTTCAATCTATGTTTACATTTTCCTTAGTAGTTCTGGGTTTTTTTAATCAGGCTTGGGCTATCATAAAGATCTCCAGACAAGAGCTACATTCATGGAAGTCCTCACTAAAATTCTGCAGCAGGGAACAGAATTTGATACATTAGCAGAAACTGTGCTAGCAGATCGGTTTGAGAGATTGGTGGAGCTGGTTACAATGATGGGTGATCAGGGGGAGCTTCCTATTGCTATGGCTTTAGCCAATGTGGTGCCTTGTTCTCAGTGGGTAAGTTGATTCATGCTTCTATTTCTGCGCGGTTTTTAAACATCAGGTGCATTTTATTTCGTACATCTCTGAAAATATTAAGACCTGAAATGAAAATCATTGCAAACATTAAGGTGTAACAACAGCCTGCTAAAGAGGGTTTGCACCTGCTCTTTGTAGTAGCTAGCCGCCTTTGGTGTGTTCCCTAAAAGTGTACTGAATCTAATTGTCTGAAATCTTGATTATAAACTACAGCTTGATAATAAATTTTTAGTTAATGTGTAGGAGTAATTTTATCTACAGGTATCATAATGAATGCATTTGTTTTAGGTGGTGTTTTTCTTATTACAGACTTTGTGTGCTGTAATGCAGGTAAATAGGACTATTCTCTAAAAGATTCTCTAAAAGATTTTCTAGTAAGATGAATTGAGTTTTGTTATACAGCATAATACCTGCTTATCTATCTGGATTAACCACTAAAAATTTCTATAATTGATATCATGAGAGGGATTTTAGACAGAAAGATAGCAAAGATTTGCTATTTTAAAGAATTTTTAACGATTTAGAAATAGATTATGCATGCTTAATTTGATATTCACATGCAAGACTTCATAGCAAATTTAAAGTGTTCATTAGCACAAGCTGCTTGGTGGTTTGTCCTAATTCTTTTTCTCTTGGTTACTCTGACACGCTGCTAGTCAGACTAACAGTTCATTATTTTCTTTAAGGATGAGCTAGCTCGTGTCCTGGTCACGCTCTTTGATTCCCGGCACTTACTCTACCAGCTACTTTGGAATATGTTTTCAAAGGAAGTTGAACTAGCAGATTCCATGCAGACACTCTTCCGAGGAAATAGCTTAGCCAGTAAAATAATGACTTTCTGTTTTAAGGTATGTTACCTAATCTTTATCTCTGCTACAGGTCACTTAAATTACCGAAAAATATAGTAATACAAAAATATGAAACTACCAAATCCTGTGGTGTTAAGTACTTGAGTGGTTGGATTACATGAAAATAGTACAGAGTTCCCTTTGAGACTCAGTTTAAGTTAATCTCAGCTCTCACAGTCAACTTTTGGCAGTGTAGGGAGTTTTACTTTTAATTTTTTTTAAGTTGGAGGAAATTTTTGTCTATCTCTTACGCTCAGACCCAACTGAAAGATTACAGATCTTCCTGGGATTAACTTTTTGCCAAGACTCCATAACTGAACTAGTTAGGTTCAAGCTTGCAGTTGAAGTCCTCTTGAAAGTTCCCACAGTGATGAATGTTTCAGCCTGCCTGATATGTGTGTTCTTTATTGTAAAGAAAATTGATTGCAGTGACAAAAGTTTGCAAGATAGAAAAATTTTTTGAAGATTACTAGATATGTGGAAAACATCACTTAGTTGATACAAGCACCTAAATATCCATAAAAATTTGTTATTTTTAAGACCCTATCCTAAATAATATTAAGTCATAGTAATACTATTTAAGCTTTTGACTTAGTTATATACATGATGCTGGGGGTAGTACCAGCTGGAAGACTGTTTCTGATGGTTTTTATGTAATGGGCAATTTAATGACGGTAGGACAAGTTCTGAGGTCTTGTTTAGGCTTCCATTCCAGTTTAAAATGTTTTGTAGTGCTATGCAAACAAAGATGGGGAGCTGAGCCAGTCTTCTCTAAGCAAGAGTCCTGTATGATTATTACAGAGATCAATACAAAATTTTAAAGTGACTTAATTTTCTCTGAATTGTAATTGAAAATTAATAAAAATGCAAACATCTATGTTCTACAGTACGTATAGCAGTTGACGCAGTTATGTTCCAGAAGTGAGACTATAATATGGAAGCACTAATTTTAGAGATCTGACAAATCAAGTGGTTTTGGTTCTGATAATGCATCTAAAATTTCAGAGTATTTCTATGGATGGCTATTTTAATCTGGCCACATATTCTGATTTTTTTTTTTCTTCATAGGTATATGGTGCTACGTATTTGCAGAAGCTTTTGGAGCCTTTATTAAGGACGGTGATCACCTCCTCAGAATGGCAGCATGTTAGCTTTGAGGTGGATCCTACAAGGTTTGAGTTACAAGGGGGGAGGACATGCATTTATTTATAAACTTGTCTCCCAGTCATCTTAGATATAGGATGCCTTTTTCCTTGATGCAGATGTGTTTTCTCAGTTTCATACTCTTCCACTCCTCTCTCGGCTAGACACATTCATTGTACCTTTAGGCCTTATAGCCAGGGAGAATTGTACAGAGCTGTACAACACAAGAACTCAGTGAGCTGAGTTCTGCTGCATGTCTACCTACTTTAAGCCCTGAGAGAGTAAGAGGGAGAGAGAGAAAGTCCTTGCTGTATCTCTTCTCCTGCTTGCTACTTCATACATCTTTGTAGGCTGCAAACACAGGGATTTCCAGTAGTAGCCAAGAGCATCTGCTTTGGGTCATTGAATTAGTTACAGAAGAAAGAGGGACTGCATGTATGTTGCGTGTAAATTTTTTGCCTTAATTTCTCTCATGTCTCTTGAAGGCTTGGATTTAGTAGCTGTTCTTCTCTCACTTTGAATTCTCTCTTTAACTCTGAAAAAGTTTTCCATGTTCTTTTAAGTACCCTTACCAAAAGATAGGCTTCCATTTTAAAACTTTAACTCTCAAACATCTGTCTCTACTTCAAAAACTGCTTTTGGAGAAAACATCATCAAACTGGTAGTGCAAACCTCTTGGAGTATGTGTATATGTCTTTGGATGGAATGATGTGCAAGAATCCCATTTATAACTGTTTGTTACTAAATTTTAAAGCTATACATAGTGTATTACATAGTTAAAAATATTGATGGAATCTTTTCTGTAAAATAGCATTAATATAGCTATAGGATTCCTATTCACCCCTGGGCGTTACCACTGAGCATACAATTGCAACTAATAAGGTTTACTTGAATGCTGGTCATATACTTATGGATCTGTTTCAGGCTGGAGCCTACAGAAAGCCTTGAAGAGAACCAGCGGAGTCTTTTGCAAATGACAGAAAAATTTTTTCATGCAATCATTAATTCTTCTTTGGAATTCCCACCACAACTTCGCAGTGTGTGCCATTGTTTGTACCAGGTATGCCTGAATGGATGGTTCAGAGCCTGATTTTTTTTTTTTTTGATCTTCAGATCCTAATTTTTTTGTTAAAAATAATTATAAAAATCAAACTTTTGGTTTTGGTTTTACTGCTTTGGCAGTTTGGAGCTTGGTCCAGTAATGGGAGTATAATGGGCGTATCTTAACAAAAGTCAGAAAACAGTCTTTAAACAACAGAATCTAAGCTTATGGGCTTAACTGTGTTGTAGGATTTAGGTTGGCAGTCAGGAGATGACTTATTTTATAAAGATTTGAATCACAGCTGAGAAATCAGAACTCATAAGACAGCAAGAATCTCAGTGCTTTAGCATCTCTGGGAGACTAAATTAACTGTGGATATAATGGTTGTAGTTGCTTTTCTCAGTTTATCATATGGCTCCTTTATGGGGAAGACAGCAAAAAGAAAATCATCACTGCTGGGTTGAGAGATGCAGAACTAACGTTTTGAATATAAAAGCAGTATACGTGTTTACTTCTTACTTCTAATTTAATTGGTCCTATGTAAAGGCAATGCATTATCCAGAAGTCTTATAGGTCACATCCTTGATGAACGCTAACTCTGTGAATAAAATACTACTTGTGCAGTTGCTGATTTTAAATAATTGTTATTCTCTGCATAACGATAGAGTTACTTCAAGAGTATTTATCTCTGAAGTAATTTTTCCAAAAATAGTCTATAAGAGTAATTATTCAGGTCACTTCTCCAAGTGTACAGGTGGACACAATCTCATAGTTTAAATTTTCCATAGAAAAGTATGTTAAAAAGAATATAAGGTGCTCACAGAAGAAGACCTATATGGAGTAAAATAGGACCACAGTAGTTATGATTCCTAAATTTTAGAAAGTAAGAATTAAAGCGAGTATAACGGAAGGAAGTACATATCCGAAATGCTATTGGCTGTATTCAGTCGAGAAATAGATTTGTGGTTGTGTGTGCTTCCGTAAACCAGATAAGTCAAGACACTCCGTCATTCAGGCTTCGTTCTTATCTCACACTGTCATGTCTTGTAATCGTTTTCTGAAAGCAGGGTTCTCTAGCTTGCTGGGGCAGTTGTAAGGAAAGCCATTAACTTATAGTACTGGGAGGAATGTCCACTGGCATATGATTTAATAAATGTCATTAGCCTTGTGACTGGGATGCTACAGATGCTCCGTACTTTTTAGATGAACCTTTTGTAGCTGAGAAGTAGAATGAAAGCAGGTACACCTTTTAGTTTATAAAGTGAAATACCTTTCTGCTGATAAAGGCTATACATGTTGATGGAAGCACTGAAGGGCTGCCCATCTCCTGCCACATGCCTGAAAGTATTTTATCATATGCCAGCGGCTGCTCTGCTTTGGTCAAATGAGGGATGAAACATTTTGCAAACATGGAGTATTAAGGCCATGTTCAGCAGAAATTAATCAAATAAATAAAAGGAAGAGAACCTGCAAGATACATAGTTAAATATATTTACATAGAGGCATAAATATATTTACAAGAGGCAAGTTAGAAAGGCTGACTTCTTCACTTGTGGCTGAAGCTCTGTGCTCTCACACAAGGCTTGCGGAAGAAAGTCACCAAACTGAGACCACCCTCTTCCTTGCTTTTTCTGCTGCCATCTACAGATAATACTGAAAGGGAGAAGACCTTCCCGAGTAGTGCACTGTCCTCGGTGGAAAAAATTCTCTGTTGCAGTATCTTCCTATCCAAGTACCTGCACTTCCCAGCCTCCATACCTGACCTCCTGTGCTCAGCCCTGGTCCTTCTTCTCTGGAGCAGCTCAGCAGCAGGTTGCTGAGCACGGTGTGCTTGCAGAGCTCTCTTCTTTGCTGTGTGTTCCTCTGCTGTGTTTAGCTGGTGCTAAAAACTCTAGTGGGGCATGTTCCTCCTGCCCTCAGGCTTCGCAGGAAGTATAGGCTTTCAGTCCTTTTGGAGAAGGCTGTTGCAGAAGAGCTAGGTGGAGCAGAGGACTGTGAGCTATGGGCTCAGTTAAGTGTTCTGGAAGAGTTATTTTTGGCCTCTCAAGCAGGGACTTGTATCTCAGGGCCTAAAGTAAAACAGGGAAATTGGATGGTCAGAGCTGTTGTTTGGAAGGAAGGCACAGAAGTTATCATGCTTAGTTGCATACGGAGATCGCTGTAGAAAATGAAAGCATCCTTGTCTTAAATTACAGTGAAGCAAAACTGTAATTCTATTACTAGTAATAATTATTACTAATTATGACTAATAAAAATTATATGCAGTATGTTTTTTATAGTGAACACTGTATTAATAAATGCAACTGCTGTGATTTTCAGAACTTGGAATTAAAAAACATTGATTCAGATGTTGTGCTTGTTGCGAACCTTGGATGGTTGCTGTGAGTTGCTGGAAAGCATTAGGCATGCCAATTCTGTGCTTTTGTTCTCACTGTCACGGTTTGTGTAGCTGGCTTGTAAAGTCATCGGTTTCTCTTTATGACAGTGGTTATAGGGAGGCTGTATCCAAGGTATTTTAGTGGAATTGGAAAATGAGGAGGGCAAGCTGGTTTCCTTCAAGTTCAACAGTCAGTCTCGCAGATGTTGACTGGGAGTGTATTGAAGTGTTGTCTGTTGAAAAAGGTCATCTAAAACCTTCATTATTACTTTGGCTATTTGCTGTTACTTTGTACCACATCTTTTCCTAGGACAGCTTTTATGTGTTGTTACTAGAATATATCAGACTTATTTCCATTTCGGAGATAATTTGCTAAAAGTCGTTTCTCTGCAAATTGTTTTTAATTTCTACATTAAATGGAATTATTAAAACAGGTATACACCAAAGGCTGTGGTCAAAGGTTCTTCTCAGGAAGCATAGCAACACTTAGCATTTTTATTTTTGTTTCATACTGCTTTAGTAACAAGGGTAGTTTGTTCATGAAACCAAATGCCTTACTGGACTTTGCCAAATATACACATGGAATTAACTGTAAAATTTGAGTTTTTTAATTTACTTTTTAAGTTTTAATCAGACAATTGAATCTGAATTTATTTGAATCTTTCAACAGGCTGATATTCTGCTTCAACTCTTACTGCTTTGACTGTTTCTAGTACCATGTTACAAATGTTTTGTACATCACAGATAGTGTAATAATTCGTTCTGTACATTCATATTCTAGAGAGTTTTGAACGTCTGGCCAAGGCTGCTTTTATCTGAGAGAGAGTGCAATTAAAATCTGAATATTTTGTATATATTAGTCTATTTTTATCATGAGAACTAATTAAGGAACTTATATAAGTTAATGGGCTGCCTTCCATCCCAAACAATGGTGTAATGGTAAACAAGACTGAATTTTGCCCCCCCCCCCTTTTTTTTTTTAATGCTTGTAAGAGGAGTCCTAAAGTCAGTGTGTGCGAACAATACTGACCAGGTGCCTTCTATAAATGGTTTGTGACTAGTTTCAATTAATGTAGCAGTGTCACGGAGAAGCAGCTGGTGATGTATTTAGTTGGATATTGGGGTCTACACTGGCTGGTGTTTGTTTTTAACCAGAACGGAGCTATTTTCTTGTGGAAACGTTATGCAAGTAAGTTCTGGTGCTCTAGTTACTGTGCCAGATTCACTCTTGCTCATTTGCAGGTAGTATGTTCCGCAGTGGTGTTAGGAGGTCAAGAAAACATGATTCAAGTGCCTCATACAAAGAAATGGTGCTGACCTTTTCCTAAGGACACACGCAAACACATCTTAATAAATAGGGGTGGGAATTTGACTAGTTTTAAGTATATTAGCCTAATAAATAGAGCATGTATAAGGCTACTTCAGAGATTAACTGTGTTTCTCTCTAGAAGACAGAGTCAATTTTAGCAGGTGTACCATTGTTTAAATATTACTAGTTCTTACACAAATTCAAACTCTGTAATTTTAACTTAGGGCATTTTTTTTACTGCTTGTTGTTAATGCTTGTTGCTCTTCACTCTGTCACGTTCTTAAGTTGTAGAAATTCTCTTCCAGTTCTCTTTTGTGTGGTACTCAGAGTTTATTTGAACTGCTGGTGTGTGTTTGCTCTCAGCCTGCTGAATACTGCCACCTTTCGATTGATGCAGCTCCAAGTTCTGACTGGTATAGGGTTTTTTTAGTGATGCTAATTTACTGTTTCAGCTAATATGAAAGATGTGGGATTGAGCTTCAAGGGCAAAATCCCCTTCTGTAGAGGGGGAGCAGGAGACGAGGCTGATGTGCTGTATCAGCTTTGGTCAAATCCTGACGTGAAATGTGGGAGAGTGATGCTTCTTGATGGGTCCCTTTGCACTGAAATGAAATTCAGAAATGGAGGCAATCAAGTCAGATGTCTTGATTAGGAAATCTATAATAAATTGGGTGTAGACCTACTGGCTTTTTTTTCTTCCTTTTTCCACAGAAGTGTTTTATGGCAGTGTTTAGCTATCAAAGTAACAAAAACCATGATGACTCTCAGATCTAACTAAATTGAAGGACACACAGAGAAACATTGGGAAGATTTGAAACTCTAAATTTATTTTAAAAGTAATGTGTATTTCAAAGGTGTAACATTTAATATTTCAACCATTAAAATTATTTGGGGATGGTGAAATACATTTGAAAGCTGAATGTACCATTTAATGCCCAATATTGTATGCCATGAGCACGTTAATGTGGTTTGACTTTTAACCTAGCCAGAAATAGTAGAAATGATTGAAATGCAACATTTGCTTGTTTTGTATTTAGTGCTTTGTAAATAAGATTTAATAAAAAGAACGTGTGGAATAAAAACTCCATCATCAGTCTTTAGTTTATATATTTCATTTTCTGTTGGTTGTTTGTTACATTTTACTGTGTAATTTATGTACAAGTCAACATTGGTTTTTTGTTGCTGTATGTAGTTGGTGCTGTGACTTGTTTGTGCTCATCTCTGTTCTGTAGGCAACTTGCCACTCTCTACTGAATAAAGCTACCGTAAAAGAAAAAAAGGAAAACAAAAAATCAGTAAGTTTGGAGACCTTTTTATTAGCCATTTCTTTCCAAGCACAACAGAAATCTTTTGCTGTTTGTTCAAAACATCTTCACTTCAGTCTATTTGACCTTCACTGTAAAATCATTCTACTAATTCTGGCACAAAATAGCTTCCATTTCAATTAACACTGGAATTAAGTTATATTTAAAAATATTCTCTGTGTGCCTATTTGAGTAAACCGAAAGATATGTTTAACCTTACTGCTCAGTATTTAATATTCTGATTCTTCTACCTTTGCCACCATCTTCAAATGGAACAAAAAAAATGCGGAAGGAAAATGTTTTCCTTGGTTTTGGGAAAAATGAGTCTGTTCAGTTGTTTTAACACTTTGGTAGATAACTTGACTGCAGCCTGCATCTTGGGAGGAGGACAATTTAACACATATGGGTTATCGGGAGAAATAGAGGCTTATATGTCTTGCTTCTGACATGTTTTCCTTTGTTTGCCTTGTGACTATGCAATAAAATTCAGTATTTGTATTTGTTTACTAAGATAAGACAAGCAGATTTCCCATTTTAAGTAACTTATTGTGTAAGAGGAAAAAAAAAGTTTAGGTTATCAGCATAGTAATATTGTTTACTTTTATATATAAGTTGACAGAGTTAAGATTTATCCTTTTCTTTTGACAATGACCTCAAAATGCAATGTATGAATACGCTGAATAAAACAGAGGCAGAATAGAAATTTAGACTTTTATTAAATGCTCCCTTTTTGCTGTAACTGAGCAGAATAGTAATCATGTTTAAATGCAAAATCATTGTGCAAACTAATATTTTACAAGAAAATGTTATCAGTAATTACAAGGTAACTGTAAATGAAGTTGCTATTGAAACAAAGTGTTTCATGATATATTCTATATGTGCTAATAGCTTTATCTGTTTTCAGAAGAATTTCAGTATGATTTGAGATTGCTCTAGTGAGGTTTTACAGCGTTTTAGTAAGATGAGGTTTGTTTTCTTAAATTTTTTTTTAACTAAAGTAACTCCTGGAATATAAAACCTGATAAGCTTATTTTGAGAAAGGTAGAATCTGACTCATTACTTGCACAAAGATGCACATGTTGATATTGAATCTTTACAGAACCGCATGTAGAATATTTAAAAATGAGAATAACATCCCTGCCTGCCCGCCAAGGAACTTCAGATTTTTTGAAAAATCAGCTGGGTGATATTTAGTGGATAAACTGTCCTCTTAATTGGAAGTTATAATACATAGTTGATTTCCTAACAAGAAATTGTTTTGCTGAAAAGCCGGGAGTGTGTGGTAGGTGTGTGTGTGTTTGGGGGGGAGGTGTTTGTTTTTTAAATAGTTTCAAAGAATACTTTTTTTTTTTATTTTAGCTAGCAAAGAATAATTATCTTAAACGTGTAGTTCTTTTCGCAAATTCCTGTTAGGCGATTTTAGGCAGCATATTTACAGGCAGAGAACACTGGCCAAGCAAAATTTTTCCACTCAGCTCTGGATCGTGCTGTCTTGCCGCCTTTGCCAAACCTTTTGAGATACGATAGGTCTGAAGAGTATTTCTCCAAATATCACCTTCCCTCAAATTTAAATAACTCCTGAAGCTTTACAGCATAAACTTTATTTTTGGAGAGGCTCTTGTGAGTAATAGTGAAATTGTAAGCATGCAAGTAAAAGAGCAGAGAAACTGAAAGGATTTGCCTGTGTTTGATTGGAAGAATATGCATGCCTGAGTACAAACACGTGGCACTTGTCCGTTTTGCTTTAAATGGTAGGGTCCGGGAATTAAGTGGTCAATAACTTTGAAACGTACTTGCTTGGCTTTGTATGACCACTGTCGTAGTAATTTCACGCTAACAAGAAAGTTTATATAAAGCTGAAGTAAAATTAGACAGTGTCTAGTAGCACCCCCCCAGCCCCCTCCTCCTCTTTTTTGCCTCTCTTTCCTGATTTTTGTGTGATGCAAGACCTATCAAGTCAGGAAAATCCTACCCAAATATATTGATCTTGAGTGGTGTGGAA